GCAGCGAGCATATAGGGTTTTTGTTTTGGGTCCAATGGGTCTAGTCCACTTTACTCATAACCTGACCATTCTACAAACTTGGGTACCTTTGGGGCCCATCCCAAGTATCCTAAGCTACTTTATATAAACCCAAATAAATCCTTAAGCTTTTCTAATGTGGGACAAACCCATTTCACAAATGTATAGGAAACCCACCTAAAGCTATTTCCTCGAACTCGAAAACACGCGTTGAATTCTTATTCATCCGAAAATGGTTTTGAGCAACCAAATACACGGTTTTATTCACTACGCAACGTTAAACATGAACCCAATGAAAAATGTTAAAAATAACGTTTGGGTCCCACCTTAATTAATGCTTAAAGTTAGAAAGAAAAAAAAGGTTTTTCTAAAGCCATTTTCCAACAATCGTCCACATGAATGGAATTCACGATAACGGACATGCAACAAGATGCAGACAGAGAAAGAGTACATTAAAAAGATACACAACATCGAGATAGGTAGCTTTTGGCTTTGAACCTCCTCTAGTGAAAGCCTATCGGACTTACTGGCTAATCAGTGGACGCAATGCCTTGAACTATTCAGCTGTTTGTATAAACCAAGACAATAGACTACACATAGTGTATCTGCAGACATAGTTTGGTTCTTACGGTTGTGTTCATTTTGGCCCTGAACAACGCCTGTTAATTCATGAGTGCTCTAGAGAATTTAGCCTTCTCAATTCTCACAGAACCAGCCCAGTTCACACTTATATAGGTGACTTCTTATTGAGAGCATCCTGCCATACCCCACATGGATATCCAAGCTATAAGAATCATTAAAAGCAAAGCTTATCCTACTAACGCTGCAGGTATCACTCTTTTTATCATATAAATGAGTAAACCTCCTTACTGATACATGAAGTCATCCATAATTCGGTTGTCCCTTTGAACCTAGATCTTGGGATCTCCAGTCAACTAGGTTGGGTTGCCATTATGGCGACTTTTAAGTTATAGGCTTTAATACCATTCCCCTCGATAAATGGTACACTTGCTCTCTGGCTAGCCCTTTAGTCAATGGATCCGCAATATTCTCCTTTGACTTTACATATTCTATAGAAATTATTCCATATGAGAGCAAAAGCCTAAAGGTATTATGTCTTCGATGAATGTATCGAGACTTACCGTTATACATATGATTCTGTACTTGTCCTATTGCTGCTTCACTATCACAGTGAATGCATATAGTTGGCACAGGTTTAGGCCACATTAGAATGTCTTCTAAGAAATTACGAAGCCATTCTGCTTCTTCTCTTGCTTTATCTAATGCGATAAACTCAGATTCCATTGTCGACCTTGATATGCATGTCTGCTTGAAAGATTTCCAAGAGACTGCAACACCTCACAGGGTAAAGACGTATTTACTAGTGGATTTTGAGGCTTTAGTATACGATATCCAATTTGCATCACTTTACCCCTTGAGTACTGCTGAATATTTGGTATAATGTAAGCCATAATTTTGGGTATGTCTTAGATACCTAAGTACTCTAATTGTCGCTTTCCAATGTTCGGACCCTGGATTACTTATGTACCTACTTGTGTACGTACTCATTAAGTACATCAAACTTCCGATTATCTGAGAGTACTCTAATTGTGATATGCCTACACCTATATTTTTTGACAAATGAAGACTAATGCCAACAAGTGTTTTAGCAGGACGGTCGTCATGCTTTCCAAATTTCTCTAGAATCTTCTCAACCTAGTGAAACTTAGATAAAACATATCCTTGAGATGTTCTAGTAATTTTTATTCCTAGAATTACATCTACTACTCCCAAATCTTTTATGTCAAATTTTCTGTTCAACATTTTCTTTGTGGATTTAATCATGTCATTATTGCTTCCAATAATGAACATGTCATCCACATAAAAACAAACTATGACATAGCCTTTTTATCTGTTTTTAACATAGACGCATTTGTCACATTCGTTTGTCTTAATACTATCCGAAAACATAGCGTGATCAATTTTTTCATGCCATTGTTTCGAAGCTTGTTTTAATCCATAAAGGGATTTGACAAGTTTACAAACCTTTTTCTCTTGGTCGGGAACTTAAAACCCTTCTGGTTGTTTCATATAGATTTCCTCATCTAACTCACCGTTTAAAAAAGCTATTTTAACATCCATTTGATGTATTTCCAGATTATACAAAGCTGCAATCGCAATTAATATGCGAATAAATGTTATTCTTGTCATTGATGAATAGGTGTCAAAATAATCAAGGCATTCCTTCTGCTTGTATCCCCTTAACAACAAGCCTAGCCTTGTATTTATCAATTGAACCATCTGCTTTCATTTTTTTCTTAAATATCCACTTCTATCCAAGATGTTTACACCCTGGTGGAAGGTTCACCAATTCCCAAGTATGATTTTGCAGTATTGATTCAATTTTACTATTCACAGCCTCTCTCTACAATGGAGCTTCAGGACTTGACATTGCTTCCTTTAAGTTTTGAGGCTCATTTTCTAACAGGTATGTCAGAAAATCTAGACCAAATGATTTAGAGATCCTAGCCCTCTTGCTACGTCTAGGCTCATCTATTTCATTATCATTTTGGTTTTCACTGATACCCATAGCAGTATCAAAAGTTCTTTTATTTGAACTTCTCTCTTCAATTTCTTTGCAAGGAAAAATGTGTTCGAAAAACGATGCATTCCTTGACTCAATAATAGTGTTTACATGCATATCAAGATTTTCAGATCTATGAACTAAAAATCTATATGCACTACTATTATTTGCATAACCAATAAACACACAATCAACGATTTTTGGTCATATCTTAGTCGTTTTGGGACTAAGGACTGCCACCTTGGCCAAACACCCCCACACTTTGAAGTAATTGTAGATAGGTCGTTGGCCTTTCCATACTTCATAAGGTGTTTGATTGATTTTCTTGTAGAGTACCCTGTTAAGAATAAAACTAGCAGACAAAATTGCCTCCCCTCATAAGTTCTGAGGTAATCCTGAACTATTCAACATGGCATTCATCATCTCTTTAAGAGTTCGATTCTTTCTCTCAGCAACTCCATTTGACTGAGGAGAATTAGGTGCAGTGGTTTGGTGAATAATATCATGTTCAGAACAAAATTTTTCAAATGGTGCACCATACTCACCACCTCTATCACTCCTCACTATCTTAATAGTTTTGCTAAGTTGATTTTCAACCTCAAGTTTATATTGCTTAAAAGCTTCTAAGATTTCATCTTTACTTCTCAACAAGTAAACATAGCAATATCGAGTGCATTCATCAATAAAAGTAATACAGTACTTTTTACCTCTTCTAGTTTGAACAAATTTTAAATCACAGATATCTGTATGAATTAAACTTAGAGGTTTAGTACTTCTTTCTACTTTATTAAATGATGCCTTAGTGAGATTAGGATCAAATTCTAAGTCTGGTAAACATTCTAAAGCAACAAGTCTATGCAAGGAATTAAAATTTACATGTCCTAATCTACCATGCTATAAAAAAAAAGACTCGACAATATAAATAGAAGATGCGTTCTTATTATTAATAGCCAAATTTAGTACAACAGTATTTACATTAAGCTTAAAAATCCCATCACTCATATAACCTCGCCCCACATACATGCCACTCTTGGAGAGTACAACCTTGTCAGATTTAAAGACTAATTTAAACCTATTTTTGATCAACCATGACCCACAAATCAAATTCTTGCGAATCTCTAGCACATGGAGTATATTGTTGAGCGTGAGTTCTTTTCCCGAGCTCATTTTCAACACGATCTGTCCTTGTCCTTCCACAGTTGAAGTGGAGGAGTTTCCCACAAAAAGTTGTTCCACACTTTCCACCACTTTGTAGGTTGTAAACATCTTATCAGTGGTGTAGCCAGGAATTTCCTTTAGTGGGGTCATTTAACAAAGCATCATCAATGTCATATATCATATTTTTAGTTATACACAATCTGTCAACATTAACATTCACATAATACTCTGTAAATTTCAAATATTCCCAAATCACATTGACAAAGTAACCCAAACTAGTGAAATTACAAGTAAAAACAAAATATTGGGATATTAACACCATTACTTTAACAAAAATAAGTAAATATCTACACTACTACAATTGTCCGCGACGACTTTTCATTTTCTGAAATCACTGCATGATGGCCTCATTAGTTATGCTATCAAACAGAGCTTTTTAAATATATGTAACCAAACAATCATTCATCAAACTATCATTCATTCTGTTACGCAATTGGTTTTTTATGAATTTCATTGCAGAGAAAGATCTTTCCACAGTTGCAGTTGTGATTGGTAGAACCAGTGATAGTTTCACAAGCATATAGACCAAAGGATATACAATATCTTTCTTTGTCTCTACTAACTTTTTTGCAAGGTCACCAACATCTTTTAATTCAGAAAACTCACTGTGTGAGTGCATATCAACAACATAGTTTTCAAGTTGATTCTCAAGTGCCAAGAGGTCCACTGTAGAAAACTCAGATGGATATAATTGAGCAAGACAAACCAATCTCGATTTATCAAAAGAACAAAATGAGTTTCTCGGATTCAAGCAAGCCACACAAATAAGTAACTCGGTATTCAACTCAGTAAAACGACTTTTTAGCTCTTGAAGTTGCATATCTAAAATTGCATAGAATAGCTCAATGCAATAATGGTGTAAATTTGTAATTTGTAGGGCCCTGCGTCACGATCTCCCTGGAAGTATGAATATATCATCCATATTAGAAATAGGGATATCATGCTTTTTGCAAAATAAGGAAATCTCAGTTAATAGAGATTCCCATCCTTCATCTCGCATTGTTTGCAATCGTTGCTTGCACACTTTAACTAGTGACATAGCATTTATAATGTCTTGATCCTTCCTTTGCAAAGCTTGAGATAATTCATTTGTGATTGACAAGATATTTTTCATCAGGTATAGATTAAATGAACAATCAAAGGATTCCAATGCACATATAAAAGTACGAGTATCAGCTCTTTACCCCGAGTGTGAGCCATCCTCTTCAACAACTTCAAGAGCATTTATCACTGAAGCAAATAAGGAAATCAAGTTTAGAAGTGTTCCATAATGTGATCGCCAACGCGTGTCACGAGCCCGCTTAAGACCAATTTCTTGATTCATCCCTTGCCCACTTTGAATCTCATCATTGCTTAATGATTCTGCAACTTTAGCAGCTTGTGTCTCTCTAAGCATATCCGGACGTTTACAAGAAGCTCCAACAACATTCAATACATTACTAACCAAATTGAAAAGCGAAGCAATATCAATGTGATTTTTTGCAACAGCTACAAGAGTCAATTGAAGTTGGTGAGCAAAGCAATGAACATAAAACGCTTCTCCATTCTCCTTCATAATTAAGGACTTAAGACCATTGAATTCACCTTGTATATTACTAGCTCCATCGTAACCTTGAACACATATTCTTGATAAACTTAAACCATGTTTAGAAAACAAGGATTCAATTGCTGCCTTAAGTGATAAAGCAGTGGTATCCACAACATGCATGAGACCGAGAAACCTTTCTGTAATGATCCCTCTTTTGTCCACATATCGAAAAACAACCGCCATTTGTTCTTTAGTTGATACATCACGAGACTCATCAACTAAAATTGCAAAGAACTGATTTCCAATCTCTTCAATGATGGCATTGGTAGTTTCACATGCAGCACAATTTGCTATATCTTTTTGAATCTCAGGTGTCACGAACTTCATATTTTTAGGACCCTTTTGCAAGATAACCTTGTTTATGCTCTCATTGTGATCAACAAGAAACTGTAAAATCTCTAGGAAATTTCCTCTGTTACTTGAATTCTCTGATTCATCATGACCACGGAAAGCGAACCCTTGGTGTAAAAGGAATCTTACGTAGTCAATTGATGCATTTAAGCGAGTCTGATAGTCAATCTTAGCTTGATCTGATTGCTTACGGAAAACTTCTTGGATGTGTTGTTTTTGCTTCATTAAATCTTCACACTTCTTCCAAGCTTGGTTATGAGCACTGTTACAATCTCCAACATGAACTGCTAGCCTTTCTTTTTTATTCCAAGATGTGAAGCCTCCAGTAACAAAAGTGTCACCTCCTGCTTGTTTTCCAATGTCGAGCTTAAATAAGTAACAACACAAACAAAATGCAGCATCTTTTTTTATGCTATACTCTAACCAATTGCCAAACTCTTTAAACCATTTTGGATTAAATCGACGCAAAACCCCACCGACATCTCTTTGTGGAAATTTGTGGCTACGAGGTTGACAAGGGCCTTTTAGCAAATATGCCCTTCTAATCTCATATTGATCATTAGGATGATACTCTAATATTTTTTTACGTAATCCAAGATCAGTGGGAAGAGTTTCCAAGTCAATATGACTTTTCTTGGAAGAATGTTCTATTAGATCACTACCATAAGTTTCTCGGATAGGAGATAAATCTTGTGACACAATCAATTTTCTCTTTAGAAATTTATCCATAGTGGCTTGCTTGGAAGAATTTTTTATCACAAATTTATCCATAGTAGTAGAACTGATCCTAAAATTATAATAAGAATAAGATGTATTATTAGATTCACACATCATACAAAAGCAATGATAAAACATACAAATTTGTAGCATCCATATATATATATATATATATATATCCTATAGACTTCCAATTCAAAATACAATGGACAAACACAAATTTATCATATGTAGTTCATAGATGGAATTCAAAATCATCAATATAGTGAACTAGTAAAATTAGAATTTGATGCAAAAGAGTTTAACAGAATGCTTGTTCAAGATCATCAATATTATAAGCGCCAAAATCTGAAAACTTAATAAACCCCAAGAAAAACCTTAGGCATAGTTGTTGTATAATCCCAAATATTGACAAACCCATCATCAACACAATTGAATAACACAGAAAAACGTAGAGAAGGTTTTAGAGTGAAAGAAAGCTAACCTTGGTGCCACAATCAAAGACCAAAGGGCCTAAACTAGATCAAAAGTCTCGGCAATCACAACTACCACAGCGAATGAACAAAGAGCTGAATGAATGAACTAGTTGCTGTAACTGGGATGGAACATTGGAGAGAAAAAGAATGAAGGAAGAGAAGAAGCAACGTGAGAGTAAGGTAAGAGACACCCAAAGCAATAGTCAATGGAGAGAACCAAAACTAAAAGTCGCTGTCCAGTCTCCAGAGTAAACAAACGTTTGGTTTATTTCTAGAACTAAAAGCCTAAATTTCTGAATAAAGTTTGATTTTGTTTTTACCTATTGGGATCAATTTGTAAAAATTTAAAATTTTATTTAGACCCACTGAGTTCAATTTGTAAATATTCATAATTTTTTTACATATACTCTATCAAAAATTTGAAGTTTAGTGGTGTCAATTGACACCACTAAGACTAAAAGCATAGCTACGCCCCTGGTTGCAAATCTTTTGAAAAAAAAAATATTAATTAATTACATCAAAAAATAAGAAAAAAAAATGTGATATTATGAATTAAGTTTCACTTCAATTGGCGAAACTTAAGAATGATAGGGGACAATATATAAATTCAAACAATTACTTTAGAATTGATGTACTAACCCATTCCTACCAATCAACTAGTATGATTAGGTGCTTTGAAATCTCTTTGCGCTGACAATCTATTCAATATAGATCTTTACAATCAACATCATCACTGCCGCAAAGCATAAAAGGTAAGCCATTTTTCTAAACCATATTTAGTTCTAATAGCTTTAACCTGTAATGTGTTGTAATGAAATTTTGCAAACCTTTTTCATATCCAAGTTATCTCATGAAAAATATGTTCATTACTCCAAGAAAGCTTGGATATTTAGGTTTTTAATTGCATTCTTGCATATTATTATTTTTGATTATTCCTGAATAATATATATTAAATATAAAATTTCAAATTAAAAGGAATTAACATGTTTTAGGTTTCTAGCTATATTTCAAAACATTATGATGATTAGATTTGTTGTCACGCCCAAAAATTCGGACATTAAATATTAATTTAGGGCTAAACCCCAATCGATATTCCTATCATTCCAAATTTGGGAGTGAAACAAAAAAACTACAATAACCAAACCATTCACCATAAATTCATAACTGACCAATACCTCAACATCAAGGGTAACAATAAATAGTCAAAACTTAAATAAAATACGGTACAAACCAATGTCAAATTATTCCAATACTAAAGTCATTAAAAAAAAATAATTACATAAATTAGTATCAACCCTAAGCTCAAGAAAAAATAAAAGAACTCCAACAGACATGTCTACGATCACGGTTATTTCTTGTCACCACACAAGCCTTTACTAATGCCTGCAAAGGAAGTTCAGCTGCGCTCCAACAAACGCACACCGAGTTGTCAAGAGACAAAACGGGTCAGTATACATGTATACTGGTATGAGTACAAAACTTGACACCCACGTGTCCACCAGACACAGAACAAAAAGTACATTATTTCTTGTTACGGAACAAAGAACAAGTAGTTCCAACGACCGAGACGAATGTGTAGTTTCCCGAGATAACGATGGCATTTAGTTTCTTGTCCGCTCACACAACGAAATATAAATTGATTACAAAATAGACAAATAAGAAATAAAAAAAATATGGTGGGTCAGCCTGCATAAAAAGTTAGTAAGACCCACATCCTGCAAAACAAATAAAGTTAGTATAATTTAATCATAAGTAACTTATTAAAAAATATATATAAAATTACAACCGTTTCATATTAAACAATTCGAATGATCAAAACTCAAAGAACGAAAGTTGTACAGAATCAAATTTCCTAAAAGACAACGTGAACGAATTGAACGAGAAACCTGAACAGGTTAAGAGAAAGGCTTAATCTAAAATCCTAGACGGAATTCGATCTAAAAATCTAGACGGAATTCAATTCGAAAATATATGAAGCTGAAAAAAGAACAAAAACTGCCATACCATAAGATGATTTTTTCCGAAAAAGTTCAAAACATGAAAAAGTGTGCAGAATAATGTTTACTTCAGTTTATGCGAAACCAATAAAAATGAACTCGTTTCATGGGTTAAAACAGCCTATAAAATCTGCATTACTCAAGTGAATCAAACCGACAATAACCAAGGTTCATCCGATTAAAGTTCTAATCGAATCTTTTTTAATAAAAAGTACTACAACACAAGAGTTGTCCAAAATCACGTATACATGCTTCTGCTCAAATTTCATACATTTATTAAGATGTTTACTCATTTTTTTTATCTATGTACATAAAATACCATACACACACTAATAATTCATATATTAAATTCCTTTGTTCCTTAACTCCAACTTCGGCCTCCACTTCCGGCCTACACATATATCCCATGTGCCTCCCGTATTAACACCGCTCGAAGCCAAATTGCACGCGGATATCGTCCCGAGTTTGATCACCTCCCCGGATGGTTAGCATATACGTACCGCGTAAATCAAGCACTTCGTCTACTCATGAGAACGAGGCAACATATAAATAGCATCTCATCAACAATAATCGACAAATAATATAACAATGCAGGCATAAGGCCATTAAACAAGCTTTCATCCTCACTCTTTTATACACTTCTTTCCTCCCCATCACTCAATAAAACAACCAATCCATGGAGTCATGGTAGAGTATAAGGAATTTAATTATAGGACATATTAATTTAAGTTTCATATGACAATGTGTAATTAAAATCCATAAAAAAACCATAAAAAATCATAAACATCGCATAATCAACTAATCCAAATAATAAAATCATCCTTCATTTACATGCAATACAAATCAATCTTAACATCAATAAAAAATAAAAACAAGAATTTATAATATAATCAAGGGAAGTGGATTTGTATCCACAATTTATTTTTGAAGATCAAAAGAATCAACTCAAAAGAATAAAAAGTCAACACAAAATAAACATTAAAACTGCATAACCCACATAATGCAAATAATTAAAATCAATCATCATCAAAAAAAAAAAAAACACTCTAAACCGTTACATACCACTCTAATGTAAATAATTAAAAATTAGTCAATCGGTTTAAAAATTCTAACGTTATATCCCAACTAATTAAAATAATACAATTAACTTAATTATCTTAAACATGTCAACTTACATATAACATCTAATCCCACATTAAATAAATTAATCAATCATCAAAAAAATCCCAAGCCTTACATTACCCAACTAATTAAATTATTACAATCAATTATATCATCTAAAACGTCTAAACCTACATATAGTCTAATCAAAAATTAAAATTAATCAATCATCGAAAAATCTCAAACCTTACATACCCCAACTATTAAAATTATTACAATCAATAATCAACTAAAAATCTTAAACCTTACATATACGTCTATCAACATAAT